TTTTCTGCTATAACACAATAATGATATCAGTTTTCTGCTTAATAACACAATAATGATATCAGTTTTCTGCTTAATAACACAATAACTCTACTTTCACTAGTTCTCGTAACCTTTTTATAGTTCCTGCTTTTTATTGGGGCTTTAATGTTGGCGAAATGCGGATATGCAACGAGTATACGCGGACATCACGCTTTGGTCCGAGGTAATAACTGTAAATGAGGAAAGGTTATGGTTGAAAAAGGAAAAGAAAACCATGAATACCTGGGAGAGATCAAGATTCTCACTGCATTCTGACCAGGGTCAATCGTCAGTTGGACAAAGTCCAACGAGGGGGTGGGAGGTCGTAAAATTTTCGAAATTGGTCCAACGTGACGGTTGACCTTGATTCTGAATGCTTATTGAGACCTCTTATTGTAAGATCCGTGTAATTACGTTTTCTCACGATTCGATGGTTATCATATTTGTCATAGACTGTCGAACTATTGAATTCGGCGATTGAACTCTTTCAGTGGTGCCATTCGTTTCTGTTTGGGTCCTGTTTCTAGGGGTTCGCACAGGTGTCAAACGCATTCAGTGATGCGATTCGTTTCTGTTTGGGTCCTGTTTCTAGGCGTTTGGGCAGTGGTGTACTTAGGGAGGTAGGAGGACGAGCGGTGCGCCGCTGTGGTGGGGGTGAGCTTAGGAGGAGTGGAAGTTCGAGGAAAGTGAAAATTGCTTCTCCCAGTTCCCCTAAGGTTTACTCTTAGGGGAGGGGAAGTAGGGATGTAGGCTCTCTGCCCCCCCCCCCTCAAGTGTGCCAGTTCTGGCGCCTGCTCAGTCGAACATGTCATGGCGAACCTCTCTGTTATTCATTTCGTAGGGTGCTGCGATATGTATATTTTCCTAGAATTCGGTTAGATTTTCCTCGTGTCTTTTATCCGCTGTTTCATCTTTCGATCTGACTAAGAGCATTGATTTCCCTACTGTATTTCTCATTCACTGTTCTTAGACCACGCCGCTATTCCTTCACTTTTCTGACTTCTTTGCTCCTCACTATGCAGTGCAACGCATTCATTGAGGTAGATGTCACTCTTCGAGACTTCGTTGTAGTCGCGAAGTCGGACACCCACCTTAATGTTGCTCGCCCGTACACATTAAGCTGCTGGTGATGAGTATTCCATGTGGACAGAACACACCTTCATTGATTCAAGTGCTTCCCTCTCACACGTCCGAAGCGGGTATTTTATAGGGATTTCGTGTGTTGTACACTGCTCTGACGGGTGGGATCGTACCTCACAGACGGTATCACTAGCGCAGCTGATCCTCGATCCTTTCTACCGTACCATCCATGGCTTTCAGGTACCCTTCATATCTTTTCAAGTACGGATTCTGCTACTGTACTTTTGCTGATTGAACCATGGTTTTCAGGTATTGATAGAAAAGGATTGGCTGGGATTCGGTCATAAATTCGACGATAGATGTGCTCACATCGGTGCATTGAATGACGAGGCGGCCAAGGAAGTTCGTTATGAAAGTGCACTGCTTCAATGACTGTTGGCAAACTTTTTGGCTTCTAGGTTTCTCCGGTGTTTTCTCAATTCTTGGATTGCGTGCATCAAATAGCAACACAACGACCCAGGGCTTTCCAGGTTTGTTCCACTATTCATTTGATCGTGACTAATACACTGCGGTCCCATTAAGTTATACGTCCACCTAAGAACGTTTCAAAAGCTCAGAAATAGAGATTGTTTTGAAGTGTTCCATGTTGTGTCACATATAAATGCGGAAATGCTTATGAACATCAATCTTCTTTTTAAGGTCCTAGGAATTTTTTCCAATAATTTTTGTCTAAACGGCCATTCCGCCGACGTCCCAAAATTATACGTCCACCTCACGTTTATCGTCTACTTTTCTCTTCTTCGTTCCCGAAAACTTTATGTGAGTAACACTTCTTGGTGTTGCAAGGAAAAGTATAAAAACTGCTGTTGGATTTCGAAGGTCAGGTTGTCGCAAAAACTGTGGAACAACGCATTCGCGCCAGATTTGGACCAAATTCACGCCAAGCTCGAGAACTTCTTCAGGGGTTTTACATGATATGGAGTTCAGAAGAGCTTTAAGGGTCTCTCATTACTTTTCGAACGAAACAAGGCCGTGTCACAAAAGAAACATCCACTTTCATCCAACGGTGCTCTGTCATCGAATCTTCTTGAGAACTTTATGCCTCAACAACTTTTGTTTCATGCATGTAAAGGAATCCCAAGATCATTCTTGATCGGAAATGTGAAAGGCGTTCATTTGTGGCAAGGAATCGTGGCGAAAACTGGGCTGATTTTTGCATGAAGGTGCAGCCGAGCCGACTGAAGTAAGGTTCGCTTCTGCTCCGATATGTTTAGCATTTGTTTGTTTTCTTCTCACGTTTACCTTTCCCTTAATGGCTTTTTTCTTAGTGAAGCACTACTAAAAGAAAGAAAATGTTGAAAAAAAGACAAACAAACACTCATGCATAGCAAGGAAAAACGAACCCTGCCTCCAGTCGGCTCGGCTGCACCTTCATGCAAAAATCAGCCCAGTTTTCGCCACGATTCCTTGCCACAAATGAACGTCTTTCACATTTTCCGATCAAGAATGATCTTGGGATTCCTTTACATGCATGAAACAAAAGTTGGTTGAGGCATAAAGTTCTCAAGAAGATTCGATGACAGAGCACCGTTGGATGAAAGTGGATGTTTTTTGTGACACGGCCTTGGTTTCGTTCGAAAAGTAATGAGAGACCCTTTAAAGCTCTTCTGAACTCCATATCCTGAAGAAGTTCTTTAGCTTGGCGTGAATTTGGTCCAAATCTGGCGCGAATGCGTTGTTCCACAGTTTTTGCGACAACCTAACCTTCTTCAAATCCAACAGCAGTTTTTATTATGCTGTCCCCTTAAGAAGTGAAGTGTTACTACAATGAAAAAGTTTCGTGGAACAAAAGTGAAAAGTAATCGATAAACGTGAGGTGGACGTATAATTTTGGGACGTCGGCAGAGTGGCCTTTTAGACAAAAATTATTGGAAAAAAATCCTAGGATCTTAAATAGGAAAATTGATGTTCATAAGCAATTCCGCATTTATATATGATACATTGTCACATTGAAGACATTTTTCGAAACATCTATATTGGTGAGATTTTGGGAAATTTTTAGGTGGACGTATAATTATGGGACGCAGTGTAACTAATTGGAATTATTCTAAGTATTTTTAGTTCAATGACCGATTCCTCATAGAGATTCACGAGCACGCCTATTCCTGTCAGTTCGGAACGTTCATTGGAAATTGTGAGAAGGATCGGAAGGTCAGTGAACGCTAAAAAATTCGTGAATGGCTTACCGCCTTGTGAAACACTTGAGATCCTCGACTTAAAGGCACGATTCAGGATTAGTCAAGCTCACCTGTTGAATCCCTGCAATCGGTAGACAGGCGAACGAGGGTTAATGTGGTGCCTACTTTGCGGCTTGAAAGTGCGCGACAAACGTGCAGGAAGCTCGCTCTACTCGCAATCCACACCCTATTCCGCAAGCCCCACCCCGCGCGGCCGAGATACGTTGGTGCTGCAAGAAGAGTGCGGCCGCCAAAGCGGCAGTGTTAGATTGCAACTAAATGTCGCGCAGCCCGTTTGTGGTGTGAAGCGTCGTTGGACTTATGCCGAACAATCTGCACCGGAAGCCTACATTTCACTAGTTATAAACAATAACAACATTGTCAAACATATGTATAAACAAGAAACATAATACAATGAAAAAATTTTGAAAAAATCGCGAGAAAGAGGAGGGATCCCGCAGAAACTACTCGATTGCGCCGATTTCCACATCTATCGATTCTGGCCTAGAGCCAACAATTTGCACTGGAGCAAGTTTTTGGCCATCCGTCCGTAAGAACTCGTCCAAACCCAATCCCTCTACATTTCAAGTTGAAATAGGGCTTAAACGGAGGTCGGGATGTTGCCGAGCGTTTCGTCTAGTTTCTTTTTTGTTTTCAGATCACTGTCTACCTCAAACGTCGTATTCAAACGCATCTGCCCACATATTTTTTCCTGACTCTTGTCTTTAAGCTATTTGTACACAACTTGATGAATCGTCGGGTTTTAGCGTCTCAACCTTGTTACGTTGCGGCGCGAAGAGAGCACATGCTGTATGCTTGCGTGCTCCATACTTCTCACGCAGCAGCTTCAGTTCTCTAGGAACCCCGAACATTGCCTTTAGAGGCAAGGTTCAAGATCAAAAGGGGTGCTCTGGCGCTTGAACGTGAAAGCAGAATTGTGAATGTAACTTCAGTTAAGAAAAAAGGAAAGAAACCACTCATCCCTTTTCAGCAGCATAGAAGCCTCACATGCGCGAGGGTACACGGTCGAGTTTTCCAAATGTGCAGGATCCATACCAGCAATTGACCTATAACAACTTACTCATACCACTACCAATAAACCATGCTTGAGATGAGCTATAGTTTGAATAAAGTATTTTACGGGCAGGCTACGCTTTGTCACGTACTATACAGCTGTAGCGGTCACAGACAATACCAGGCAGCCATCGCTCAAAATACTAGACCGAGTGCACTATTGCTGCCGTTTCGATTTACGAGCGTAGCGTCACCCCTCTAGTTGCAATCCCAGCCACATTTGCGGTGGAAGGGTTCCCTTTGACCGCCTCATCCCGACCCACTAGCGGAGTGGTGCAAAAAAAGAAACTTGGAAATCAAAAGCAAGAAGATTGTAATACCTTTTTGGCCTAGTAAAATTTTCTCAGCTTGGTCCCGTTTTTGACACTATCTTCTGACGACACTTTTAAGTCCATACTCCTCGTTACAGAATTCCACTATGACTCATTAGAATCTTTCTGCTTCTCCATCCACCCTCCCCACATTGGTATAGACGGAATTATTGGTCTTGGGCAGAGAGCAACTTTTTTTAGGTTGGACGCTCTGAACTGTGAACCTGACCTTCCTACTCTACTTACTCTCGCTTCTGTTTTCAGGACTTGAACGTTACAAAGCGAACGAAGTCATTGTGGACTTATATGGATCAGCGTCAGGACGACTATCTTAATCCCTTCTATGAGGTGAGATTCTTTTTATGGACGGCACATGTCATGTTGAGCAACTTTCCTGCAGTTTCTAGACTGAACTTCTGAAGTTTAGCCTACAACGTTTGGCGTGTTGGCTGATTTGGAGACCCGCGCATCGGAATTTCGGGTGTGGCATTCGCTTTACAATCGCTTCGATGAAGGGATCCTCCCTCGGGAAAATATGACTGACATGGTGATGGCATCAATGGAGCATGTCGGCGTGCTGGAAAGTCATATAGCTGCCTTGAGAAATGTATGTCCTTTTGCACTTAAACACAGAAGTTACAATCTGTTTACTTTCAGATGCCTCATATTAACTTGAACGAGTTTAGGGATAAAAGTGTACAGGGGGGGGGGCAAAATAAAAGTCACTTTGCCCATGCCGCTCATCAACATACTTTTCGTCGCTCCAAGGACTGCTGTTGATGGAAGTTTACGGCAAAAATTCCTTTAGTATCTCCGCAAGTGTAGAAGCAGGACCTCCTCCCTCTTTAGTTGCCCTCACCGTCTCAGAATATGACGTCATCTGCCATCACCGTCGAGCTCAAGGAGGCCTACCGTAATCGCTCCAGCCTGAAGCTGCTACATAATTTTTGAATCGGTCAACTGATGGATAGCTTCTAGAGACATTAGCTCTGACTATGCAAGACCCTTCCGATCAGCATTTCACATAACGTCGTAATGGCCCTCGACCATGCGTTAAGCATGGTCGAGGGCCATTACGACGTTATGTGCTTAGCTATTATGCTTCAAATTTGAAATCGTTGTAGCGTTTCGAATGCATTCTGGCCTATGTAATAGCTTGCGGGGCCATCCAATGTACAAGTCATTAATTTTATCCTCCTTAACAAGTGTGGTGTCAGGAGATGTAGGAGTGGTAAACTCAGGACGTATGGGAAACTTGCCTGGCTTAGAAGGCCTACTATCTAGGAGATCCCTGAACATGCATATGGTAAGTAGTGCCTGTTCTCGCTACACCACTTCCGCCCAGAATTCCTTCGAAATAGTAAGATGACTAATAAATACCGACTAGAGACAAATTTCAGAAGGGTTTGTCAGCGTTTGTGTGCCACATTGTAAACATGTTGCAATACTTTGAGTTCACGACCCGCAGATCTCAATACAATTTTTTAGCGAATCGCTGAGCTGAAAAGCCAGCTGGGTAAAGGGAGTTCCGGTGGCTGTAATAATTCCATGGCAGACAGCGGTCACAGCAGTGGAACTGGTCAGTCCGAAGAAAGGCTTGCCTGCAACGACCACCGGCCACCGTCACGCGAGAGCGGTGTTTATGATCAGAGTTCGGCTCTTTCGGTCAGTTTTCCTTTTTTTTCACTTTTTCTTACTGTTGTTAAATGCGGCGGTCAAACTTAGTGTTAGTGCAAGCGGCTGGCTTTTGGCTTTTTCTAGCTTTTTTGACTATTTCGTTCATAGGAGGAGGCTTTGATGCGATTTCCTCTTCGATGGCAGCCACTCAGAGATGCAACCCACTGCAGTGCGAAATCATGTCGGGCAGAGTTTGCTTCCCCTATAGATCGACGCATTCATTGTCATCGGTGTGGAAAGGTAAGCAAAAACGAATTTCACACTTGTTAGGGAGTGCAAGTAGTAAAAAAACCCAAGGACTAGACTGTTCGTCTATCTTCGTATGATGCATTATGCATTCTGTGTGTTAGGGTTAAGTGCAATGGCAGCGGCCACGGTTTGGGGCATAATGACTGGCTTTTTTACTTAATTGTTACAAAATAAACTAACCTGAGTAGTTTGTACGGCTTGAGTCATGGTGTAATGCTACGAAATCTTGGCATCTAGACCAAAAACGTTTCCACAATAGGACGGAGCTTGATCAAATAGCGAAGATCTTTCACATTTGCTGAAAGAGTTTGTAAAAGACAGGCCTCAGTAGCCATATTTTATGAAACGTTTTCATCACAGATATGAATTTGAAGTAGATAGTTTGAAAATTCAGCTGGAAATGTGGCAGAACGTTGTGGTCATTAAGAAATGTTTTTTTATAAGGGAAACACTCCGGACATGAAAAAGAATTTTATCTTGGAGTCTGGGTCCGGTTGTTGCAACCAGTTCAAAAATCTCATTCAACCATTTTGCCGCGGTTGCGCGTGTATAGTGGCATCTTTTTTTGCTCATATTCTCTCATCAGTGACCCCTCAATGACTTTATTATTAGTAATGATCACGTTGTCTTCTGGATCCGATAGTGTAGATGGACCCTTGTAAATGAAAAACGCCCTTGAAAAACGGCAAATAAATTGAAAGAAACCGATTTATTTCATGTGAAAGAGGTGCGACATCGTTAGCTGGTGTAGATAATTGATATGTAGTCTGTCATTGCTGTCTGGGTTGGGTCTAACAAGGGAGGTCGCTCAGGGTGTGCAAGCTTTTTCCTAAACGAAGCGAATACCAGAAAAGGGGTCCCTAGTTCGATTCCTCGTGGTGACAAATTTTTGCATTTCGAGTTGACGTTTCAAAATTCGCGCAAAATGGAGTTAGCATGAATAATTAGTACCATATTCATGATTAGGACCGTCAGTAACCCTTACAAATAGACTTTGATTAAAAAACTGGTGAAAAAGGTGTGACACACAGTGGGGCTGTTTTGGTGTCACACTTTTTCACCAGTTTCAATCAAAGTTTTTTTTTGTAAGGTTACTAAATTTTCTATATAGAATTCATTGTTCATGCTAACTAAATTTTGCACGAATTTTGAAACGCCAACTTGAAATGCAAAAATTTGTCATCAGGGGGGAATCAAACGGACCCCACCCTTTTTTGGTATTCAAGAGGGCCGATCAGGAAAAGCGACCATTGATTCTTTGTAGGTTCCTGCATGTGCCCCTCAAGAATAATTTTGAAAAAGCTTGGCACACGCCGCACGACCTCCCTTTTAAATTTTCTCGTCATTTCCTATGTGACCAGCTTTTTCTCGAGCTTTATCATTTCGTATCTCGGGCATAGCCGATATTGGAAATGTTGATTCCGTCGGATCAGTTTGTCTTTATTGAGTTCCTTACTGATTGCGTCTGTGGCCCACGTGAAGTAAGATTCCGTAAGCTAATATAAAAATCCTACTTACTATAAAGCGCTTCGTCTGTCGTCTGTCGTCTGTCGTCTGTCGTCTGTCGTCTGTCGTCTGTCGTCTGTCTGTATGTCTGTCACGAAATTCCCTAGCTCCTCGGGATCCGCCTGGAGGGACCGGGTCAAGTGTGGAATGGGTGGGCAAGGGTCTCACGAAATACAAAACACACATCAGCTAAGCGGAGCCCCGCCCACAGAGGGCGTGGCGTGCGTCGAAATGAACTGTACCGAAGACCAAGATTTCGATTTCAGTGACAAAACGACCTCGAAACTGGGCCAAAAAGTGGGTAAAGGTGTGCATTGGTAAGTCACATCGAATTAGGGAGACCCACCCCCGGTGGGCGGGGCGTTCTCCAAAAAAGCAGTGCTTTATGAAAAATTTCATAACTCGGTTGGGAGAAAGCCTACAGAGCAGAAAACAATTTGGTGTAAGGGAGCAATGTCTAAGGTGTTTCCTGCATACATGACGTGGGCGGAGGCCCGCCCAGAATGGGCGGGGCGCGCTCTGAAGTGTACAGCATTTTCTACAAGCCTCATAATTCGGGCCGGGGAAGTCTTAAAGAGCCGGAAAAAGGTGGATGGAGGTGGGTGGAGGAGTGGAGGCCAGCTGTCATCGGTGGGCGGGGCTTGACCAAAGTGGGCGGAGTTTGCGACGAAAATTCATAACTCGGCTCCAAGAAGTCCCGGAGGCACGGAAAAAGGTGGGTAGAGGTGGGTGGAGGAGTGGAGCTTAAATACCATTAGTGGGCGGAGCATGTTCAAAGTGGGCGGAGTTATCACGAAAATTCATAACTCGATTCCAAGAAGCCCGGGAGACCGGGAAAAAGGTGCATGGGGGTGGTTGAAGTAGTAGAGCTAGAATATTATTGGTGGGCGGAGCAAGTCCTAGGTGGGCGGAGTTACCCAGGAAAATTCATAACTTGGTTCCAAGAAGTCCTGGAGAACGGGAAAAAAGTGGATATAGGTCAGCAAAGAAAGAGAAGTTAACTGCTACGGTTGGGTGGAGCGTGCGCTAATGTGGGCGGAGTTTGCGCCGAAATTGTAATTCGGCTCCAAGAAGTCCCGGAGGCAGGGAAAAAGGTGGATGGAGGTGGGTGGAGGAGTGGAGGCCAGCTGTCACGGTGGGCGGGGTTGATCAAAGTGGGCGGAGTTTGTGACGCAAATTCATAACTCGGCTCCAAGAAGTCCCGGAGGCCGGGAAAAAGGGAGTAGAGGTCGGCAAAGGAAAGGAGGTCAACTGCTATCAGTGGGCGGAGCACGCACCGAAGTAGGCGGAGTTTGCCACGAGATTTATTGTCCGGAAGCAGTCCGGAGACCGGGAAAAAGAGGATAATGGTTGACGAAGAAAAAGAGGTTGAAAGCCGTCGATGATGGAGCGGATAGAATTTAGCTGAGAATTCAGATATTCGTGGTGTATCAAGCCAAATTTGAAAATTTTCGTCGCACCATCAAAATTCGCCGCAGATCTGTGTTGCGCGCGCAATGCGTGCGGCGCCAACTGGTAATATATATTTGTTATTGTGCGGATACGAATTGTGCGCAATGCGTGTTATTCCTAAAAACCAGGTGGACCACGGTAATAGCACAGGTAATGGACTTGTCTCCATTACCTGTTGTTCACACTGTCGGCTTCTTCTTTTTACATCTTGTTATTATTATTTATTTTTTTATTTTATTTTCGACATGTCGTCTCAACAACATTGCTGAAATACATAAATAAAAAATAGTATGCTTCCAGTGTTTTGTCGACGCTGTTAAGGTTACTGCTGATGAACGAGAACGGGTCTGTGATGGATGTCGAGACAACTCGTGACGCCTTACAAGCATAGCTGAAGAGAAGGCAAGTGAGGTGGCATAGGAAGCATTGAGATACACGTACATAATTGTGCACGTATTTATTTATTTATTTCTCTCATAACGATATATAAACATTTCTTAATTTCTGTATAATGGTCACTTTTGTTTTGCTGATTGTCATTGGTTTTTATTTTACAACTTGACTCAGTGAGAGGTAGAGAGCCCATTTCATGATTCTTTGTGAATGAATCTTATATTTATCAGGTGATCTTTTCACTACGATTTTTCCTAGCGTACTAACACATTGTTGTTGCCGAACTAATATTTCCTTTTTTACTTTTTCCTCGTTCCATTCCTCTTAAGCAGTCCTTGATTGAAGTAGAGTCTGTGCTGCTGGCCAAGCGTCTCACGCCAGTTTCTAAAGTTCAGCCCACCCCATTAGCGCATGTGCGTTGGAAAAACAGGGCATTCAATTTTGCAGCGCGATAGATCCAATAATCTCGTTCACATGTTGCTGAGGGGACGGTGAATTGTGAAGGCAGCCTACTCTCAAGTGATATAAGTTATTAATCTAGTCTGGTGCTTAGGCCGAGCTTATGAGAAGTTTGCATTCTATCACTTTTTACCCACACTTCTGTCTTCTGTCATAACTCTTTCGTTCGAATTTTCATATGGTTTCAAGTACAGTACACAATCTTGTGTTTGCTTATTTTTTTTCGTTCGTTATCATTTCAAGTGTTTCTGTTCATTGTTCCAATAACTTCACGTGAGCGGGTTTATGTGCTTGTTGTGTTCAAAAATCAGTATTGCGAAAATATAAAAAGTGGTATTTTTCGTTCTTCGTTCGTCAGTTTCGGCAGCGAAACGTGTTAGATGTAGCTGTAAGTACCGTCAGCCGAATGAACTCATATTGACAATCTGTAATAGTTTACTACCTCAATTAATCTTACAAATGCGACTAAAAATTCGAGCATTTATTGGTTGGAACGGGCTGTCAGAATAGCTTGGTTGATTTGATGTTTAAAGACGATGTTTACGGTCAAAAAGGCAGCTCAGATAGTAGTTAAGGTGAAGGTGGTCAGCGTGCCGGGATGAAGAAAAAACCACAAGAAATTGGCGAAGAACACGAGTAATCGGGAACCTTTCCTTGGGCGTTTATTACCGCCAATTTTTGCGAATCTTCGGTGCTGCCCTCTTCAAGGTTCTACTCTCTCTCTCTCTCTCAACTCTCTCTCTCTCTCTCTCTCTGCTTCTGGCTATACGGAAGGCGAACCTGCTGCCGAGTGAAAGATTAACACTCATGGCGCCAATAATGCAGCGGGGAGGGTCATGCTAGGTCGCCGGGGGTATATATTTTCCTTTCCCTTTGGCGGCATTGCGTGTCGGTCTACACCAGGGTGAATAACGGTCGAGGAATTCCTCGACCATGGCTCTCTACCGTGCGAGAGTAGTGTCGAGAGTGAATGAATGCGCGGAGAGCACAGACGGCTCGCAGCTGGCGAGAGTGAGCATCCGCGGGAGAGCGTGAAAGAATCCTCGACGAGCCGTTGTCTTTTCCTCAAGCGATTTTCACCCTGGTCGGCACCGTCAGAAGGGTCGCCGGTATTTCATGCT